ATTAGACAGCCATCAGTTATCTCAAAGATAAAAGTGCCACAATTGCACCATTCAGAATATCTTGCCTTGGTCTGTGGTCTGTAAGCTTTACATCTGGGTAGGACTTCTGATTGCTTTTTTTCCCTCAGTAGTTTCATAGCGCCTTCTGGTACTGTGAGAGCTAGGCATTAGGGAAGAGGCTTCCCAGTCAGTTCTACCTCAACTCCTCCACGACATGGGATAATTCTAATTCAGATTTTTAGCACATGATATGAGAGATAGACTGTGGTCACACTGGGCATACATCAATGGCAAAGAGGAAGAAACAAAGGTTTTATTTTTGTTCCTTCAAAATAAAAAGTCTACCACAGGATGCAAAAACACTGATTGATTTTGTTTCCATCAAGAGACCCCCCCAACTAGGGCAATCACCCAAGGGGTTTCTCAGTAGTAATTCTTAGGCAAGGAATGTGGGACCACATCACCTATAGATGCTGGTTTTGTCAGAACATGACAATTCTGGAAAATCTAACATATACAAGCTAGCTACAAAAGAAGGTAAACACACTTTAATCAGCACAGGAAAAAACTCCATTGGGACTTTTGATGTAGTTACACATCTTCCATCCTATAGCAATTTCCATTCTTGATATTGTGGGGTTTCTAATTTGCAAATCGAGCTATCAAGACAGAAAGACAGAATCATATTCAGGAAGTGAAATCGGGGACTATTCTGAAACTTGGGACTTCCTTTCTTCCCTGTCTCAGGGGCTTGTGAGTTCATGCTTAAGTTTTCCATAGTCTAACCCAATGTCAACAGTTTTGAGACACAATGGAAGCTGAGGGGACTGGGACAAGATGAGCCCTTAGTTAATACCCATTAGCTAATACAGAGGTTTAATTTCTTTTCATTCTCCTTGTAGTTTGAGCTACACAGCTAATCCCATTGCTTCTTTATCACCCTTGCCACCCGTGTTTCTTTCTTTCTTTCTTTTTTGCCACCCGTGTTTCTAAGAGCAGCGTACACTGCATCTTTCTTAAAGTCTCCTCATAGGGCAATTAGTTTCCATGGAAGAAAGATTTTACTTTTGTCATTGTAGGTGATCTTCTCATCTGTGAACCTGATTGGGGCTCTTAAGACTCACAGAAAGGCTCGCTCCTCAGAGTGCTGTGGCACCTTTCATAAAGGGAAAAAACAAAAGAAGGGAATGGCTGCTTAGTCATGGAAAAATATTTCCTTCTCTGACTTTTCTTCTGAACTTTCAGAGGGAAGGAAAGGGAGGGGGAAATGTTCAAGAAACATGTTTATAAAAAGGAGAAAATATTGTTTCTTCGTATATAAACATTCACGATATTCTCTTTTCTTCCATAGTAGAGCACGGGTTTCAGAAAGCAGATCAAAAATGATGGGGGAAGTGTGAAGGTGTAGCTAGAACAAGAGAAGATGAACCATTAGGTAGAGAAAGAGGAAAGAGGTGAAGGTAGAGAAGAGAAGACCTTGCTGAATTTTGAAAAGCTTGAAGTCATTCTTAGAAGAGTCTGAGAGTGGAGACGATAAATAAAATCCATGTTTATGCTGTTCTGTTGTTCTGGAGGCACATATGACTCTTTAGTTATATGAAACAATACATACTTGTCAGGAGGCATCCAGGGTACGCTAAGGCTAGCAGGTAGTCTTCCTGGAGGTAGTGACCCACTGTTATTTGCATGGCCTGTGACAGGTGAGCTAGATGGCAAGGTCCCCAAAAGACTGTGTCTCAAGATTGCTTCTTGCAGCTGATAAGCCTTTCCTGTCACTATTAAATTAATATAACAATCCCTGGACATTAGGCCACCCTAGTGATCAGATTTCCTGCAGATCAACATAAAGATGAATTTTTATGAATTAATGCTGTTTAGATGAATTAATGATTTTATAGAATTCCTGATTTGATTCAGATAATTTTAGGAAGGAAGTTTTAAAAGATGATCCTAGTTGCTTTGCCAGAAAGGTGTAATAAAGTTAGACTCAAGAATAGAATTTGCCCACGCCTCATAATAGTAAGTAAAGGCTGCATAAATAAGAAATACAGTGAGCTTTCATAGTTACACTGAAAAGACATATAGGCTTGGGACAAATTTGTGCTCAAGGAAAAACATTTAGGTCCAAGGATAAAGCCACAGGTGGGCGCTATGGCAAGACAAGGCCATGTAAAAACCATTGCTATTGCTTTGAACTTATAATGAGCATATTAGAATGAAAAACTGCTTTGAACTTAATATCAGCATCCTTCTGCAACTCTCATTTTTTGTAACATTTTATCTCTGAGGTGATTTTCTAAATAACTTTTTGTCTAAGAAGGTATAAAAAAGCCAGAGAAAAGAAATAAAGTTGATGGTTGAATGGTTTGGCTTGGCGGACTCTGCCCCATCCATCCATCCATCCATCCATCCATCCATCCATCCATCATCCATCCATCCATCCATCATCCATCATCCATCCATCCATCCATCCATCCATCATCCATCCATCCATCATCCATCCATCCATCCATCCATCCATCCATCCATTCATCCATCCATCCATCCATCCATCCACCCATCCATCCATCCATCCATCCATCCATCCATCCATCTATATTATCCATATCATTCATATGTATATGTCTGTTTGTTTATATGTATGTATATAGGTATATGTGTATGTAAGCATGCATGAATACTTGTGGAGGGTATGAGACTGGTGGTTGGGCCCAACAAAAATGTGAGTGTGTTAATGTGTAAATGAAAATATAAATCTGTGTATGAATGTATATGCATCTGTGCATATCTGGCCATATAAAGCATCTTAATTCTTTTCCTTTCCTTCCTTTCTGGTTCATAAAGAGTTAACCAGTCTAGCCAGAGAGGCTTTTGGCTGCCTGGACAGAGAAGGGAGCACTAGCAATAAGTCCTTTACCTAATCATCCCACTGTTAGCAACAAGTGTCAATAGATCCAGAGGCCTGCAGCTTCTGGCCTCAGTATAATTTAAAGTCAAGATAGGCATATGTTAGTATAGAAAGCAACTTCTACATTTACCAGACCAAGTCTCTGCTGATGCTTTCCCCTCTAGGCTGCTTCATTGAGGACCCAATCCAGGGAGAGGTCCCAGGCAAGTACCCATCCAAGTTGGTTTGTTTCACAATGCAATTAATAAACAGAAACCACCATATTTCAACAGAGGGACTTTCACACCAGGAAAGTGGTACATGGATGATGGAAAAATGGAGAATCCCAACAAGGGACAAAAGTCAACATATAAAAAGAACAGGAAGTGGTTACCTCTCAGCAAGAGAGGAACTGGGAGGAGGCTGTCTAATTCACCACCCCCACTGAGCAGCAGGGGCCATCCAGCAGCATGGAGCCCTAAAATGCTATTGACTAGCAGGTGCTCCTGACACGGAAGGACTGGCTAACTGAGGGAAGCTGGAGGCCCAGCAGCAGTGCAGCCACTTGGTGAATGCCTGCTCAAGCAAAAATCTGCAGAGAGAAATATTGTGGCTTCTTTTCTTCTCCAGTTTCTCTAAACCAGCCAGAAGCCATCGATCTAAGCTGCTGACAAATGTAGTTCTCAAGGAAATACATGCAAGGAGGGCGGCGGACAAACAGATCATGGAAAAAGGGAGCACATAACTTCCTCATGTTCTGAGTTTCCTAACCCTGTTTCTTTGCATCTATCTATTTTGGGGATGAACCCAGGAGGTCAGTTTGCCTTGATATGGGGTTTTCCATGTTCTAATTGCAAAGGAGAATGTCAGAATACCCTTGTTTAACTATCATAGAGTGAACAAAGGTAATTGTCTCAAGCCCAGAGGCTGTCCATGTACTTTGTAGAGAGCAACCGAAAGAGTTTGTGTCTCTTGTTCTTTTGCCATTTTGCCGTCTTCCAGTGATCCAGTTTGTTTCTTGAACTTCTCTACTAGCTGTCACTACTGTAGAGCCATGCTTGTGTAGTCAGTCAACTTTTGTCACACCATCAGGTTGCCATCACAACCTCTGTTTCATGTCCTGAAGACTGCATAGCTGACAGGAGGTAGTTGTGCTTCGTCTAGATTTAGCATCTACCATATACTGACATACCTTGCATCTGACCATGTTTACAAACTTAGCATATAGACTGTCTGCCTGGGACCATGATTATTATCTAAACATTTTGGTATTTCCTTTCCTGTCCTATGTGGAGTGATTTAGGGTGGAGGTGACACATTTAAGCTTTATTTTTTCTGGTATCTTACTTACAGGTGATGTTGGTTGTTTGGACTTCAAATGAGCAACTGTATTATTCCTTGGCACTGTAACTGGGTCTAAGTACGTTCACTGTTCTGGGTCTCAGTTTCCTCATCTATAAATGTAATCATGAAATAGAACCTACTCTATAGGAATTGAATTGTAAGAATCAAATGACTTGATGTATATGTGTGTACAAGTATGTTCCTGTGTATGCATACATATGTGTTTATATATATGTTACAATGCACAAACACGATATGGACCTTGATCCATTTTAGGATATAAAATTGATATATGATATTATATGATAATCACCCTATAAATATCTATCACTCTTTTTTTTCCTTTACCCAGTGAGGATCAATGCTGTTGGAGGAGCCCATGAGAAGATGTCACATGTGTTTAATGTGTTTTACCTAGCACCAAGACATGGCTAGCTGGATAACTTGAAAATTCCAAGTAGATAACTAGTTAGTTTAAAAAAAAAATCACTGTCTGCAATACGTCCACAAACTACACTAATAATCTGATAAATAATAAAACAAGTTTTAAAATTTGACAAATAATCTCTTAGTTGTAGCAATAGGTTTCATTTTCCAGTGTATTTACTTGTGACTGAATCACAAGATCTTTTTTCTTTCTGTAGTTTTTGTGTGGTTTGAAGATTTAAATTTGTTATGGAAACAGCCTGTCAGTTGGCCAATGATTAGCTAATTTCTGATAATAGAAAAGGAAACATATTGCCCCAAGGCTGCTGTTTTCATTTCCTCATGAGAAGAAGAAGCACAGTAGAGAAGAAAGGCAGAGCCAGCACACTTAACCTTTGCTAACATGGGGAACTGGGCTGTGAATGAGGGACTCTCCATCTTTGTCATTGTAAGTACCAAAAGCAGCTAACTTATATTTTTTGATATGTCGGAGCTCTCTTGGAAGCTAAAATAGAGCAATGGCTTTTATTATTGTTGTGTGCTTAAGAAATGTACTTATTCTGTGAACAGATATCTGTGTGTAGGTAGACTCAGTTCATTCTCCCATCGCAAGCTTCTTAATTAAAAATATGCATCAGCAACTCTCATTTTCATAGTTTATTTCTGAGTTCCTACGACTATGAAGTTAGCCAGCATTTAACAGAGAATAAAACATACGTCATACTAAAGATCTCTAATTGTGAGGATCTTTTTCAATTACTCAAAGGTAAGTTTCCTCACCTTTTATGTTAACTACATTAAATGGTCAATTAAAACTCTACTATTTTCTGAGTAACATTTATTCTTATGGATTTCTTAGATAGGAAAGTTGGCTTTATTTCAATCATAACACCAAAATAATCAAACTTCTCCAGTTTCTTTAAAAAATAATGTACATTTTTTCTATGCAGTCTGAATTGGAGTTACTTGTGAATTTTACATCAAATTGAGGTAAAAGAATTGAAATAAACTATCTTGTCTCATACTTTTGCAGTACGTGTATTATATGTATTTATCTTCATATAAAGTATGTATATAATATGAAACTGTATATAAGAAATAATTTTAAGAGGTTATAGCAAATTGATTTCTGTTCTGAACTCTTAAGTTAGTGTTCTCAGCAAAGCAACTATGGATGAGTGAAATAGGAAGAAATGTGCTATCTAAATATTCTTAGTAAACAGCTCATGAAACATGAGATTAAAAATTACTTATAAATGGAAGTTTTGTAAAGATTAACCGAGTAATGCACAGAGTATGAATTCTGGAGATATTAATAAAGTATTAGCATGGTTAAAATGAAAACAATAACTAGTTTATTGGAACCTAGTTCACACCAACATGCTAATGCAATATAGAAGTGTGAAGACTGGGAGCTCTAGTCTTGAGTCCTTGCTTCCATTTTAAGAGCAGGTTACTCAGCTAAGGAACAAGCTGAACTCTTTCATTCTAATTACAGTTTCCTCAGAAAGTGATCTTTTAAATTATCTATGCATATACATGAAAGTAAAACATGGCTTAGAAACAGAGTTAGGGAGCATAGCAATGGAAGAAATGGAGTTTCTGTAGCAACCTTCTTTGTAAAGAGAGACTGTTAGGAAGCATCCATGGGTGTTCAATAGTTAATATTAACAACAGATAATTTACTATTTAAGGAAAACCACTATGAAAGTGAAGTAGAAGACTGAGCGGTATCATTCCTTGATAAGGTTGCTGTTGGGATCAAATGTGAACTTAAAACCTAGAGCATTTATTTTATTTTTAAATTCCATGGCCTTCACCCCTTGCCCATGCTCAATACCCCCTCCTTTAAAAATTAAGGAAAACTCATCCAACAGAATAGCAAGTTGCGTGTGCTGTGAGCACTGAGTTCAAGTCCCTACAGGTCAGGAAACAAGAGGAATACTTTATTTCCATCTGCTCTTTACTCTTCAATTGCTGGTACCTGTCTGAAGTTAAGATGAAAAGAAGAGGAAAGAGAAAAGAGACGAGACAGATTGATATTAATTCAGCATGTTGACCACGTAGTGAAGCAATTTTACAAAACAATGAAGGAAGGTAAAGTCAGTTCCTGAAAAGTGTAGAGGTACTGGAATAGGAAAGAGCTGGCACTGAGCTGGGTGCACCCAGACATATGTTAGAGTCTGAACTTGGGGAAGTCCTGTCCTTCCTTTGCCTCCAGTCTCATAGGGAACCTACCTATTGAGAGAGAGACACCTCATACAACTTTTTCTGTTTGTGCAGCTGGTGTGGTTGGGGCTGAACGTCTTCCTCTTTGTCAAGTACTACAAGGTTTATGATGATGAGCCTAAGTATAATTATACTCGAAAACTCCTTGGGGTGAGTATAACTTCTGCCTCACACGGTCTTGGCCAGCTCACACTAGCAGTCAGTTGTACTCATACGTCTTCCTTTTTAAGACTTTGAACAAATCTTCTGAACAACTAAGACAACACCACCAGCTTTTTGCCCCAATTGCAAGTTTTTTGGCAAGAATCTCTTGTGGCCTGCCAGTGTAACAAGCTGAAGTATGGCAAAGGGTCCTAGCCACATCCCTATCCACCAATATGTGCTTAGCTTAACATAGGAATCTCTAGAATGGACAGCCTACTGGGAGCCATTTGTACAGGGGTGACGCTGCTGTGACAATTGACATTTTCTGTATTTTTTTTCCTAAAGTTTGGTGGTTCGTATCATTTGGAATACATCATTTGTTACATTAATAGTATGTTATAATCATATGTATAAGTCATATCAAACAATCATGACATTATTAAAATGGTCTCTAATGCATTATTACTGGTCTGTTTTCTCTGTATAATAGGTAACATCTTTTGATATTGCTAAACCAATTTTGCCCAAGTATTACACCATACCAACTTAAGTTACAGTTAAGGTCTAAGTGCTAAGGGGACCTTGTTTCAAATCAAAGATCTAGTTTTGCTACTGACCTCATTTTAATGGTGTACGGGCTTAGAGCTTTAGAAGGAAGTAAGCATGCCACTTACTTTAAAATGTATATAAGACGTGGGCTGGAGGAGGCTCAACGAGCAGGAATTCTTGCTACACAAGCTTGAGGACAAGACTTTAGATCCCCAGCTTGCATGTAAAAACTCAAGTGTGGCCACATGCACCTATAACTCCACTACTGCGAGTAGTTGGGACACTAGGATCCCTAGAGCTTGCCGAACACCGACTAAACAAAAGACAATGAGCTCCCAGTTCAAGGTGAGACCTTGTCTCCGGGGGAATAAGACAGACAGCAATGCAAATATTGGAGACACCTGATAATCTCTGATGGAGAACGGGGTGAAAAGATAGATCTGTGACAAGGCATGCATAGGAAAATTTAAAAACTGTGGTCTGGGAGGTGAATAAACAAGAACTCAAAGTAAACATTATCCCACTTCTCAGGTTTGAAACTTAAAATATTGACTTGGGGTAAAAAAAAGGCTTACCACACAACATACAAGTAGCTCCTAAGAGATTCTCCTCTGCTGTGAATGAAATTTCTTTCCTGATCTCTTAGAAGAGGTTTTTAGGGTCCCATGGTGAGACTCCAGGGAAGAGGAGTACCAGTATTCTGCTCACCAGCCTCTCTGCTCCTCCCCTCTCTCCTCTAGTCAGCACTGGCTCTGGCCCGGGCACCTGCGGCCTGCCTGAATTTCAACTGCATGCTGATCTTGTTGCCAGTGTGTCGGAATCTGCTCTCGTTCCTCAGGGGTTCCAGTGCGGTAAGAGCAAACATTCTTTCTACTGTCAAATTGTTAAACACATCACACCAAATGCTCTTTCCAAGGAAAAGCCAAGTAATGTTCTGTGAAGCTCATCTTCTGTAGAATATTCATGAGCTACTTCATGTCATATGCTCTGATATACATCATGTACATCTTCATCAGCATCTACTTATATGCATGCATACATACATACATACATACATGCATACGTATATTATACTATTTGAGGGCAGAGTTTTCTGGAACATTATTTAACTTGGAAAATTTAAAAGTAGCTAAACAAACTATATACCAGTAATAGTAATGAAGTAAATATACATGCATAGGGGTTTATGAACCAAATGTATGACATTTAGGGACTAAGAGTTCTAGAATGTTTTTAATATCATGTCAGAGAAAATATTTTCTGTATAACATCTCAAGCAAATTCAATCACTTCACAAAACAACATACTATAAGAAAATATAATTAGGAATAGTTTACTCCTGTGTTGGCACATGCCTATAATTCCAACAATGAGGAGCCTGAGACAGACGTATCTTATATTTGGGACCATCCCAGGCTACATAGTGAGTTTTAGGCCAGCTTCTGCTACATAGTGAGATCCTGTTTAAAAAGAAAAAAACCAAAAAGAAAGAAAAGCAAAGAATTGCTAGCTCCATGGGATTAGATTTCAGAGCTTTCTATGTGTCCACAGTCCCCTTTGCCTTCATATAAACGAATGAGCACATTGATGTACATAAAGTATTTTTAAACTGTAGGATTCTGTATATTTTTTTACTGGTAACATTATATGAAGATGAAAATTAAGCTATTGATACTTATTTAGCACACATGTTCAAATAAATGTGGTACAGAGCAAACTATGGTGAGTCCCATAAAATAAGGTCTTGGAGAGAAAGTAGCCTGACAATGGGCAGGTGAGGATTAATCAACATCTAGACTTTGCTGATGAAATCGAAAAAGTATTATATATGAAGAAGATAGCATGGGCAAAACCATAGAAGATGGTGAGAAAATCTTATTCTCAAAAAAATGAGAAATAATATAATACTTGCTGTATCAACTTTTACTGCGTTCTATTTAAATTTATTGGGCAGGAGATGCAACTCAATGATATAGTGCCTGCCAACCATGCATGAGGCTATGGGTTGAATTGTCAACACCAAAAGAAAAGCAAAGGATAGATAGCCAATGTATGAGTTGGTGGCTAGATTGTTTTCCTTTAGCTTCTATGAGCATTTATGTACTTGGAAAATGAAGATGGACATAGTCAGCTTCTATCTGGCTTGAGAGAAGGAGGGATGAGCCACTTCTTCAATAGGAAGAAATATAGAAACAGTGCACAGAATTGGACAGGTTGAATATGTCACTCAAGCCAAGGACATGTAGCAACCTGAGCTTGGTTAGGCTATATTTCTGTGTAACTAGTCTTTAAAACCTAATATCAGCAAGTCATTGCTTCACTTTGGATGTGTTGCTATTCCTGAAAAATATAGGGTTGGTGCCCCCTGCATCCTGGAGTTTAATGGAGAGCTAGTTCTGCAGAGTTGGTGAGCTTCAGATTCAGTGAGAGTTTTTGCTTCAAAAATAAGATGGAGAACAATAGAGAGAGACACTTGACATTGACCTCTGGCTACCACACAAACATGTCCACCCACTCCTCCATCTGTCTTTCTCTTTCCTAAAATTCTACAGTATTTAAGTTAAAATCGCTTTTAAAGGAAAATGGAAAGCAAACTATTTTTCCATGAGAGTACAGTAATTTTAGTGGGCAAATGTCTCAGATAACCCTGGAGAAGAAAGCAAGGATTTTGCTGGGAAAACCAGAAAGTTAAATGTACTGCTAAAGAAGTAATACTTCGTTTGACAATGACCAAATATCTGTAGTAATTTGTCAGTCTCAGGTACAACTTGGCCTTTCACTTTGCTCTGCTTTCCCTAGTCATACAATTTCTATTAATCTAAAAATGAGTTTGTTTAAAAACAGCCAGCACTCAGCTTGCTCAAATGGGACGAGTGGACAGCAATTAGACTTTGATATTACCCACCACTGTATAAAATACCATTTTATCTTAAACATAGTCCTTAAACTCCACTCTCAGGAGTCTCAGTTTACATGAAGACTTGGGAAGAAGGGGGCTGTCTCTCAGTAGTACAGCATTAACTTAGAATACAGGAGGTTCGGAACCCACCTCCATCCCTGCAAATCCATAAATCGTTGAACCAAATGTTAGAGTCTCTTTGTTCAGCAGCAAAACAACAGATCAAACAAACAAAACCAAAGGATGAATGTTGACAAACCCTTTAAGATTCTCTGGAAAGAGCCAGGTCCCTTGTCTCTGGAAAATACTTTGATAAAGCTCCTTTATTTAAGTCAGTTTGATGTGTCACAGTTATGCCCTGCAAACCCAGGCAACAGCCAATCATAGTGCTTGATGTTAGCCATTCATCAGAAGGCTTTCTAAAGAATCTACTGAAGAATCCATGGAGATGAAATCTCACTGGATTGAAAGGCTGTCTACCAGGCTACCCATCTTTGAAATAATACAAGAAGCAGATGAAGGCTTGCTAATGACACCATTGTGCAATATCTTTTTGGTTTTTTTTTTTTTTTTGGACACATGATTTGGGTACTTAAAAAAAAACAATCTCCCTATCCCTGTGCGAATACTTGTTATTTAGAGGAAGTAAAGCCTGAAAAACAGGCAGTGTTCTCACCGAGGTGGTCAGTTAAGAAATCCTTGTTACCCCATAACCCGGAGTTGCATTGTCTTGAATGGTCACGTCCCATAAGCAGCACATATAAAATATCAGCTTTGGAGCATCTTGTAGCCCACGAGTGATGACCCTCATGAGAATCTTTAATAGGAGTAGTAAATTAGGGAAAAGCCAAGCTCTGTAACCAGATACATCTTCACACAGAACAATTCCCCCACTTTATCTATTTATTTAAATTAGCACACAAAATAATGTTTCCTCTTAGGGCATTTTTGTACCTACGTAGTTCTGGTTGATGAGCCTCCCCACCACCTCTTCTTATCTCTCTGCCCTCCATCTCCATTTATACTCTCCTTCCCCTCGAATTGCTCCTGGTACCTTTGCACCACCACTTCTGTTATTCTTCCCATTTCCTCTCCCCCAAAATCAACGATCTGCTCCCGGTATGGCATGCTCTTTCTTCTGAGGTTGGCAATATGAAAGATGGACTTTGCAAATGAAACTACTTTTTCTGATTGGGATTTAAATGAGTGAGTATGTTGGGACTAGTGTTGGAAATTGTGACAGCTGAAGCTCACCAAAGCTCAATGGAACTCATGTCAAGGATGTGAGGTGGGCACACAAGTAGGAGTATTGGGATCCAAAGCCGGGCCATTTTGCTTTTGTATGTATCAACTAAACACCTTGAACTGTCCCCATGGCTCTGTTTAATATGCGTATTTGAACCTGCTAAGTAACCGAATCTAGCAATGATCAGGCTATAATAACTTAAGAACTAGTTAATGGAACATTATGCTAACTAAACAGCCATAGAATTTCGGTTCCATTTTAGAGACCTGAATCCTGTAGACTCTGGTTCTGAAACCTTCTGTTTACCTGGAGGGAAAAATGCCCTCTGGCTGTGTAACCTTACCCTCCTCCAAAAACAAAACAAACCAACTAAACAAACAACAACAAAACAAAACAGAAAACCCAAAACCTAACCAACCAAGCAACCAACCAAACAACAACTGTGAGAAGAGTCTAGGCCTGAGAATGCAGAACCACCTGCTGAACTTTTAATAACCTCAGCTCGATGTGTAGAAACAACTTTAACTTGTGACAGTTCTAATCTTCAGATCAGAATCAAACAGAAAGGTGAAAAGGCCTTTTGTCTTCTACAGTCTCAGGATCAGACGGCCTCTTCTGCCTGTTTGGCTCTGCCTCTAACCATGTGGCCTCCTAGGGAGGCTTGTGCTTTAAAAAAAAACAGGGAGGGAGGCCAAATAACGCAAATTTAAACATAAATATACTCTCCTAGGTAGGGCTGTAGCTCAGCAGTGAAGACCGTGCCAAGTGTGAAAGGCCTTAAATTCCATCCCCAGTGTTGGGGAAAAAAAAGGGAATGAATAGGTATACCTTTAGCAAAATATACTAATTAATTTTAATTAAATTATCAATCATTGAGTGGTCCCCGTTTAGAGGTCTGTCTGTGTCCTCATTAACTGGAGACACAGCGTGAGGATGAATGAGTGGCCACAAACTTAAGGAGCTTAGAGTTTTGTGGAAGGGATATAGACTAAGTATGAGATCTCCAACTTATAAGGAGCTCCATGCAAAGTGGCATTCTTCAGATTTATCACACATTTTTACTGCCACCATGTGCAGATGTTTCTGTCAGATTCTTTGTCTGAGTTTTGTAGGTAGATGTAAGCCTAGCTCTTGCCATTTCACCTAAATTGTTTCTAAATACACAAGGCAAGCCCTGTAAGACCAAGTATACATATGATGGAGTTACAAAAGCCCACAGTATACCCTATTAACTATGTAATTCATTTTACTTCCACTTTTCATTATTTTGAAACTCAGTTTCAATATAGCATAGAAATTTGCCAAGATGTCCCAACAATTGCCCTTGCATTAGAATGATAGTTGATTGAAGTTGGGCAAGGCTCTTTGTGACAGTAAGAGAGAAACTTCCGTTTAGGAGTCAGTGGACAATAGCAGTGGGATGGTTCCCGGAGGAAGCTCTAAGGGGTGATGAGAGCTTGGCTATTTGGGAGTTGGCTGGTAAAAACTCAGAGGTGAGTCAAAGCACACACATGCTATCTGTAGGCTAAGGAGGAACAGAAAGGGCCCTGGGAATCCAAGAAGTCTCTTTGAAGGCCATCCTTCAAACCTTACCAGCTGATCCCCCTGCCCCATTTTCAGGAAGTGTCGAGGAGATCATTTTCTTAAAAGCTTAGTATCAGCATGCCTTCTTCACCATTCCTGACCACATAAGGGATAAAAAAGCACTTAAGAAAAATGAAGGATTGCTGCCCTGGTGGGACCTGTTGTTCTGGCTTATTAGTTTCTCCTCTGGATAAAAAACTGTGCTTTGCGTTCACTAGATCTAAAGCCATGATGGTTATCTCTGAACGGGTACTGTGTTACCTAATCAGATCACTCCACTCTTCTGACACTGAATTTATTATTTTTTTCTAAGTGTTTGCATCAGAGATTTGTAAGGGGCCTCAACATCTATTATTTCTCAAATTTGATCGATGCTAGCGATAGTGATAAAGATAGGACTGAGGTGATGCCTAACAAAGTCATGCTACTTATTGTCAAATTTGTGATGATGCAGGAGCTAGTGGATTTCTTCCTCCACCCCTCCTTCAACAAAATAGAAAATATGCAACAGCGAATGCGGCAGGCTTAGTGATCTTATTTCCAAGGCAGTGAAAGTGTGGTCCATTTGTATGACCAAGTAATTAATAAAGGACACTTTTGAAAGTAAGTAGCATGTTAATCTTTGTTCAGGATGCTTGCTCTCTAGCTGGAGAGCCAGGCTACGGTAGTTGAGAACTTATGTACACAATGATGCAATATAACATCTTACTCTAATATAAAATCTCTCTCAATGAATACATGTCTCCTAGAAAAGAGCTTTGATGATTAAATGGGTGAGAAACATGTCCTATAGTTATGTGGTAGATCTGTGACTCACCATGTATAGATAGATACATGTAAAGGCAAAACTTACTTTCAAATGTAATAATTCATCACTGCTTTCAACAAACTATATTAACTCCCTTACTGTGATTCTTTTTGTTTTTGTTTTGTTTTGAGATGGAGTTTCTCTGTATAGCCCTGGCTGTCCTAGAACTCACTCTGTAGACCAGGCTGGCCTCGAACACAGAGATCTGCCTGCCTCTGCTTCCTGAGTGCTAGAATTAAAGGTGTGCACCACCACTGCTCACCGCCTGGTCCACCCTATGATTCTTAAGAGTCCAAAACAATTTACCCAGATGGATACTAATAATTGTAACTTCTGTGCAACAAATTGCCACAAATTCATTGGTTTAGTACAAGCCTCATTTGCAAAATGAAAGTTGTGTAAAGCAGAGAGGTTCTGCTTTCTGTGAGACTGAGAGAAAACTACAAGCCTTCTGAAAGTCTAGGTTCAGAGACACAGTATCTTTCTAGCATGCACAAGGCCTTGGGTTCCATTATCAGTTCTGTACAATGAAATGAAACAAACAAACGAACGAACGAACAAAACAACAACCAAACAAACACAAAACCTCTTCCAGGCTCCTTCTTCAAAAAATCTATGCATTATAGTTGCAGGTCTGTGGTCCCTCTTTCCTAGTTAGCAGTCATCTCAAGGCCACTTTCGGATCCCACACCTCCCTCCCATGTACCTGACCCCATCTTCCAGACAGCAACAGTACCTTAAATTCTTTTTGTATTTCAAATCTCTGACTTCCTCTATTTTGGACTTCTAGATTTTATGTAATAGTCTCAGATCACCCAAGGGGGAAAACCTCCGTCTTTAAATCAAATTTGGTCTTTACATCTGCAGAATCCACCTCATCACACAGTATAACAAAACCACATGTCATCCACACAGGTCCCATCCAAACTCAAGGGGAAAAGATTGCACAAGTCTTTCCAGAATTCTGCCTACCAAAAGGACTTTTTAAAACTGGAGGAACGTGGCAGTTAAGAAACAGGAGGCTATTTCCTTAAACCTGTAAAGTAGTTTGCTGGTCTGAATGAGCCCGCTGTTAAAGGACAGTGGTAGCTGAATGATAATGGGATTAGTTAATTGCCCTTCTAGTCCCTGTTCATCTACCTTCACCTTCTCTGACCACTGTCCACTAAGGATCCCAATACTTCAATTCTTAAGTCTGATTTTGAGACACTTAGAACACTAATGATGGTGTCCTTGCATCTGACTTCGTGGAAAGGGGCATAGACTTTTTGATAGACAATAGACTGGAATCCCAGACAAAGTGAAGTTTTAATTTTTTTGTCTATAACACAGACAAGAATACATGTATTATTGCATTAAGTGATAAGTAAATTATCTGGATGACACAGGCCACTTTCCTCCTCTATCTGGAATCCTTATGGGTTTCCTTTCATCATCATCATTATTAATATATGACAATGATCTTCCTTGTAATGCTTGTAGCCTAACTGAGCATGTGAGCCCATTTCCCCCTTCCTAGTCTGCATATGAGCAACTGTGCAAAGACGTATTCACTTGTTCTAGAATTGTTCACTCGTCTTTGTCCCCACCAGATTCCTAGAAATGTGACCACAGGCCAACTCTTCGTGAAGTTTTAGATACCTTGTTTATTAAATATTAAAACTAGAAATATATTTTGTCAAAATTCAAAACTTTAGACAGTGAAAAATGTATTTGAGACAAGGCCTCATGTCACTAGTATGAGAACAGGAAACATATGACTTAAGCTGGCTGTGAGAACTGGGAGGATGACTACCTCAGTCTTGTCATCAAGCAAATGGATGGAAATCTATCTTTATAGAGTGGTTATGAGACGTACATGTCAACTGTCTGGGACATAGAAAGTGTTCACATGAACAATTTCTACCATTCCTTTTTCTCTCCATCCAAAGTGTTGCTCGACCAGAATTCGAAGACAACTGGACAGGAACCTCACCTTCCATAAGATGGTAGCTTGGATGATAGCACTTCACACTGGTAAGTTTTAGAAGACACTTGAAATGCAGAGAGTGCTCTTGGATACGTGTGTGCAGATACATTAGGTTGTGGTCAGATGAGTTTCGGTCAAAAGCATTCAAACTTTTTTTTCCCTGATGTTAGGATTCATATTTAGTGTGGGATATTTTTTTTAATCATAGGGTCTTCCTATATAAATAAAATTAAAATATGCTGTACAGTCTGTCCTCCTGTCCTCACCATTTCCTATTATTTTAGTATAAAAATATGTCTGCTAGTGAACACACAAACATTTTTATTCATTCTACAAATGCTTTGCTACAGATGTGGACTTTGTGTATTTTGCAATAAGCCTGAAGAGCTATGAGCCATAAGTTGAAAATATCTTCAGAAAATCCTTATCACATGCATACCTTAGTGATTATTACTGTATCATCCTATGTTTGCATACAATGTGTATTTATATGTAGTGTATTATATATTATCATCACGATTGTGATGGGGATGTTGTTGCAGGAAATAATGTTCCTAGACCTGTTACCCAATCTCCATGAATTCACTTACATAAGTTATTTGCCAGAAACTAGACATGCATAGCAATGAGCAGAAAGGCCCTCTACTCTGCCTGTGGGGAGTATAGGTCTTACTGAGGAAAATGAGCTGAGTGTAGAGGTGTTTTACTGGCTCCCTATTCTTCTACCACGTTTTTGCAAGACTTTGAGTTGTGGTAAATGAAAGCTTTAAAAGAAATGAGTGACAACATCCTGTTAGAAATTAGCATGTTATACCAGTAAGAATGCAGACATGTGTGCCACACAGCTTGGATTTGATTCTTAATTCAGTTTCTTCTTGGCTTAGCTGACCTTGGGCAAGGTTCTAAAGCCAATGATGCCCTAGTTCCCTTATCTTTTAGATGAGCTGATATTAAACATGCTTGTTTCATTGGGGGACTGAGTGACTGTAAGTCACAACAGGCCCCTAGGATGCTCTAGGCAAGTGACAGTGAAATAATGAATGCACTTTCTTTTTTTAAAAATGAATTTATTCACTTTGTATCCCAATATTATTCTCCCCTCTCCTCTCAGTCCTCCCTCTCACAGCTTCTCGCCCATTCCCCTCCCCTTTTCCTCTGAGAAGGAGAGGAGGCCCTGACTAGGTATCCCCTCACTCTGGCACATCAGTCACTGCAGGACTAGGCAGATCCTCTCTCACTGAGGCCAGACAAGGTGGCCCAGTTAGTCGAGCAATTTCTTTTTAACTTAAGAGATTCATGCTGATGACCATCAGTTTGTATTAATTCAGTTATGCCCACTACTACATACCATGGAGGTATGACTCAGACATCACATGGGTGCTTTTCTCAGTTGAGCACAAACACATTAGAGAAGAAGGGAAGCTGTGAATCTATCAAGTGTACACTCTTAAAAAAAATTGGTTGGCTGGCTCTCCCTAAATGTTAGTTCAACCCCTTCATTTTACAAATGAGGGAACCAATACCAGAATGACTGTATGATTTTTTTCCACAGTAGCACAGGCAGAAAGAAGCTGACCTATTATACCTGCCTTGTTTCTCTGGTTATTGGGGCCCAGTTTGTTTACTGAATCCTAGGACCCATCCCTTTGGTTCTCTTGAGAGCCAGAGGCTGTGGCCAGAACCCTAGATTCCACTGATGTGGTACACCCTTCTCCCCTCTTTGTGTCTCTTCCTTGTCCTCTTCAGCCATTCACACCATTGCACATCTGTTCAACGTGGAGTGGTGTGTGAATGCCAGAATCGGGATTTCTGATCCATACTCAGTAGCACTCTCTAAAATCGGAGATGAGGACAATGAAGAGTATCTCAATTTTGCTAGAGAAAAAATCAAGGTAAGCCTCCCTTTTCTGATTCCGATGTTTGCTAGGCTATTAAAACCAAAGACTTTGTTTTCCTGAGTGAAAAAGTAAACCTATAATTTATCCATAAAAGCCACCAAAGAAAGTTTGCTAATAGTTCATAATATAAGTGTTAAAAATGTCTCCTACCCACCTGTTCTTATACTCATGGCAGGAGCTCATGCCATTTTTATGAATCCAGTGGCTTAGGGAGACAGTTGAGTTCCTCAGTTGAATTTCAAACACATTTCCCATGTTTACAAAAATAGCTGTAAATCAAAGAATGTTAATTTGGCCCAAAAGTTTGCATTCAAACTGACATGAAAAAAGTTGGCATGACTCATGCTTTTGTTTCTGTCATACCATGGCTAATTTTTCTTTCTATTGTTCACTGTTTTCCCAATGACATATATTGAACGTTTTAGTTGAACTGACACTGTCACGATCTGTCCAGATTTTCTTGAGTCAGTTTTCCTGGCTCTGTGCTTTCTCCAGAATGTTTTCCTTTTCAATTGCTTAAGCCCCTTCCTCTTCTAGGGACTGCCTTGAGGCTCCCAGTAGCTCTTGGTCCAGAGATGAAATGTGAAAATGTCTGTACAATTACTGCTCCCTGAGAACCCTTTGGTAAATAACCAATGAGTGCAGGCTTTGGGATGCAACTCCTTTTCCTTTAGTCAGTACAAACTATGACGTGTAACTTAACTTTCAGATTGGTTTGTGGATGCCAGAGTGGATATTTCTCATCTTTAATAGAACTCTCTGAGATTGGAGACAAAAAAAAAGTGGGTGAAATCTCCCAGAGAGTGGGGGCAGGAATATCTTTGTCCTGACCCTGTGCATCTCTGTGCATCCCAGCCTGCTCTAGAGCACCTGTTCTCTGGGACTACATGTTTTTTACCATGTTTATTTTCAGTTTCCTGGAAGTAGACATAATGAGAGACCATCTATGAGGTCAACTTAAAGCTGTCCCTGTGAGATGTTTGTGTGTGTTTCCCCTTGCCTAACTTTTCATCTTCTCTGACCTGTTCCTTCTTCACTGACAAGTTTCTGTTGGGAACCCCCTCTAAGTCATTTGCCCCAAACCTCTCATCTAAGGGTCTACTCATAGTGAACCCAGCCTCAGGTGGCATGTGTAATCAGAATTCATTGGCCAACTATGTACTGTAGCCTTTCCAAATCAAAGAGGTAGAGCATGAGACACTCTGAAGACATCTCTTACTAGGTAAGTTCCTTATAGTTGAACTCCACTAGAATCATCTGAATGTTCTTCTTTATCTGTAACTTCCCAATAATGTGAGATAGTTTAAATTTGGAAATTCCAACACCAGATCTCTCTGAGAGATATGTTTACAATAGCCAAAGGGACAGGAAATGCCTTATAAAAACAGCTTTAAAATGGATACTCCCGAAGTTCTGAGCCCGTGTGTTTCTATTTTCCAGAACCCTGAAGGGGGCCTGTATGTGGCCGTGACTCGGTTGGCTGGCATCACAGGAATTGTCATCACACTGTGTCTCATACTGATCATCACATCCTCTACCAAAACTATCCGGAGGTCTTACTTTGAAGTGTTCTGGTATACACACCATCTCTTTGTGATCTTCTTCATCGGTCTTGCCATCCATGGAGCAGAGTGAGTTTTCTAACTTTATTGCCAAATACTTTTGAGTTCACCTTCTAGATGTATTGACTAAGGAGTGGCACAGTAGGGAACAGCTGAGGTCAGTCAAAATAGAAACCATCAATGGTTTTTGCTTTCTTGTTGTTCCCATCCAATTCATAATGGGTGATTTAAAATAAGCTTGAAATATATGCCTCTTATATAAAACACACTGACTATGGTTCGTCTCAAAGCCACTATTTGTGTAGATTGCTCACTATATTCCTGCCTAAAGAGAAGAAAGATGGTCTACTCTGCGTGGCCATACCTTATTGAAAGCATTGGTTTTGTCTTGGATGCCCACCACATTGCTTATCTACCTCAGGAACTGGGGAGGAATGCTAGCTAGGCATTGCTTTCAGATTTTCAAATATGATAACAAGTAATTGACTTCTACCAAGCTCTATGTTTGGCTCTAAGAACTTGACATTCAATGTTGTTGTTGTTTTTTTTTAACCATCTCATGTGTAGATGTGTAACCCAAAGATTAAAATGGTAAAATGTGGGCCAGGCCAAGCCACGCCATGCTGGTGAGTAGCCGAGAGAACAGGTAGTTTTGAGTGGGCTGTGGTGAAAACTCTCATAAGGACACACAGTGCTTGACTTTATGCTCGGAAAAGTCTGCTTTAAGATCAAGTTTCAGTTTTCTACTCTTTCACACAACCTGCACATAAAAGCCAAGCCCAGGAACATTCCATGATGGGTATTGAGTTCCAGGAACGCTGGGGAGGGGAAAGAGAATATGCAAAGCTCAAGCCAAGTAACCTAGGGGTAACCAAGTCTTGAGAGTGAAAAGAGGAAGGATGAGGAAAAAGCAACTGTGGCCAACTTCTGTGTGTGTTCTTCACCTACTTCCTGATTTGCACTGCTGTGAAACTCTTTCTAAGCACTGAGAAGTCTGTAGGAATGGAGAATCTCCTGAGTCTCCTAAAGCAGCAGAGTGCCTTTCAATTAACTTGCTCATAATCCAGCTCTCTCAGAGAATCCTTCAAAGGAGAAAACATGTCTTCCCCTCCCCCCTTCACTAATCCCTCTGCTTCCAGTTTATTCCCCACATGAACTAGGAAATCAAGACACTTCGTAGTTACTATTTTTCAGACTCCTGCTTTGTACTTGACGTTTTTCCACAAGCCACGTCCATTGAGCACTAAATTCAGCCTTTAGTGAAGAAATATACCTGGTTTGCAGGTGGAGGAACTTCAAAAGAAGTTAATTTTACCAAGACTACCAAAGTATGATAGCGTAGGATTGAGATTTGAGGTCAAGGCTATCTGGGTCAAAACCAGAATTATTTTCAACAAATCATGCTGTTTTAGTACCCTGATGTAAAATTGCAAAAGAATACTTGCTTTTCAAGCTTATTCCATAGGTTAACTGAGATAATTGGTGGATAATATTTTTCCTCATGCCAACCCAAAGCAAGGACAGTCTCTTCATGGAGACCTAGGAATGGGAAGGGATTAGTCTAAACAGTGGATTCCTGGCCACCTAGGGCTACTTAATGAGACCCTGTTTTACAAACGGGTCATAGCCTTGAATTAAACCATTTTCAGAACATACTAAATGATATGTTAAATTATAGATATTGCAATTGAAGTTTATAAATGGATATCCGTGTTTCTTCTATCAATATATTCTGAGGACCATGTCATTTGCATTCTGTAAAATAACTTAATCCATTTTGTGCTAACCCAGAATTGCCTAATATTCTAACATCTGTTTACTTAACAATTATTGAGCTGAACTAAATAGGCTCTGTGCACTTTAAGGAATACAGTATTGGCACTCATATCTGTGAGGATGGTCAAATTTTCCCAGAAAGATACCATTTTGAAGATGTTTTCCAGATATATTCTCATTATGTAGATGAGGCATCCTTGGAATCGTCAGAGTCACATTCTGCCTTAGCATGTGGGGATTCCAGGTATGCAGCATGCCTGGCCTACAAAAGTCAGGGATCTACAAATAAAGCACTCTGCTACCTCAAACCCACTCTGCATGGTTGTATATGTATTGTCCAGTATGTACCAATGCCTGTATAAAAGACGAAAGGGAGTCTACTTTCTGCTGGATACATGATTGGCTTGTAGAAGTATCTTCACAGATAGAGAAACCTTTTCAAATTTGCACAAAGGCACCCCCTGGGTTAACAACCAGACTGTTAAGAGTTACCATTTTTCTAGGTTCTGTGTGTTTATACACAAAATTGGCAATTGAAAAGAAGCACATTCTCTCTTTAACAAGGCACATGTTGGTAACCCAAGACACACTCTATAATGTTAGATGCCAATGGTCTTTGTACCATCTGCACAGTTTTCTATTGTTCAAGATCGCACGTTTTCATTTCCTTCCCTGACCTACTTAAAAGGGGTGTTGCTGGTTAAAAAGCACAGGGCTCCCATGAAGATATTTGCAATATGTGCATGATCAGCGTTGAGGATATAGGTCCTTGTTGCAGTGCTTGCCTAGCATATGTGAGACCCTGGATCCCAAAAGCCTACAATACTCAAGCAGCTTATTGTTTTGTGATTAAGTGATGTGGAATTATTTTGTTTTTAAATTTACCAGACGAATCGTACGTGGACAGACTTCAGAAAGTTTGAAAGAGCATAATTTAGATTTCTGTGCAGACAAAATCGAAGAATGGGGGAAAATCAAGGAGTGTCCAGTACCCAAGTTCGCTGGAAACCCTCCCATGGTATGTACTTGTATTGCTTCTGCTATAGTGTTGTAACTGTCAGTCTCAGGAAACAGGTACAAATGTCCATTAGGATGTTCTAGCGACTTTTGTCTACTGTGTGAGTTGGCTAGAAGCATTTTCTCAATTGAAGTTCTTCCAAAATAACTTTAGCATGTGTCAAGTTGACAAGAAACAACCAACCACCACCAAAATGAACCAGGACATATGGGAAACATGCTCTTAATTTCTACCTCAGAGTCCATTTACATGATGTTTTCTTTTACATTTTTGGTACTTCAGATATTAGGTTAGGAATCCAACTGGTCAAATTGGATAGCTCTAATTTGGGCCTAAATGTTTATAGAGAGCCTACAACTTTATGAAGCAATTTCCATATTCTGCCCAGAGACTCAGAGAGAAGTCTTAGAGTTTTCATATGTGTCCCTGTAGCAAAAGCATTGCCTAGCTCCTAGAATTTACCTGCATATTGAAGACATATTGAGATCTTGCACAATATTTGTCATCTTGAAAAAGATTAATCTCAGACTAATTGATAGAAAAAATTGCAATGTTTCATTAGAGATATCATATTGCTGAAATGAGACGTTCTGAAGCCTTCCTTGCTCTGTTGTAGGCTTAGTCCAAGTTCATGTATTGACATTGAGAGGAAATCTCATTCTTGCAGGAAGTTTCTCTTTGGAAAGTTTTACACTACAGATGCAGATTATATAATATATAATATATAACCCCAATGTGGCTGTTTACTGGCTTAACAGTTCATCTTAACTTTTGATATTTTCATATAGACTCTCCTATAAAAAGTTCTTATCAGTAGTAAACGTTTCAGCAAGCTTACAAAGGTTAACCTGGCTTGTAAAACGTTCGCTCCTTCTGAGTCTCTCACGAGCTGTCACCACCCCCTTAACACTTGTCCTTTTTGTATTTGATGTGATTACAGACTTGGAAATGGATAGTGGCTCCCATGTTCCTGTACCTCTGTGAGAGGTTGGTCCGGTTCTGGCGATCTCAACAGAAGGTGGTCATCACTAAGGTATTCACTGATGTGGCATTATTGGTAGTAGCTACTTACCATATGAACAACTCTCCCAGATTTCTCTATACTGTTGGTCTAAAGGGTCACTTAACCACATTCTTTTTATTAAACTGAAAACAGAAGTCCTACAGTTGATCAGTTGGGTTTAATGCATTTAACTTAATGATGAAATGGATTGCTCTTTAAGAGAGACACTAAAGGTATCATTTTCTAGGATTCTCTCTCTCTCTCTCTCTCTCTCTCTCTCTCTCTCTCTCTCACACACACACACACACACACACACACACACACACACACACTATGTATTAGTGAGACAAAAAATTTTATGTCCAAAAAAACCCCCCAAAACCCATAGAAGGTTGAAACTTTCTAGTTCCTTAGTTCCTTCTTCTTTATATGTGATCACTGTATATTAATTAGAGCTTCAGTGTCTGATGTATCAAGCAGATTAATATATAAGCTACACCATGCATTTGCTCTCCCAACTCCAAGTCTGGAGTGGTTTTTCTCCATTCTCCCATGTTTTGTTTATCATTACAAACCAAAGAGACATATGCAATTAGACAGGCTCTTCTGATAGATAGGTGCATAGGAAGATAGATAAGTGATTGATAGATGGAAAAGTCCCTTGTTATAGTTTCAGTAAACACACAACAAGATTCTTTTGTTAAATAAAATTTAATTACATTCACTTCCGAAAGTATTTACAAAAAGTATTATAGTTCATTTTTTGCAAGGCACCAAACTTCCTTCTGTCTCCCTCACTAGAAGTTTTTCGGTTGGTACCTACAGAGCATCACAGTAGATCTAGTCATGCTGCCACTGCGAGGCTTGTGATGCAGGAATGGGCAGCCCTTTTTCTTTTATGCTATTTCTATTGTTTTAGTTTTTTTAAGCCTAGCCATGATTTTTCTTTTCATAAATAAGAAATGACAGAATCAGACAAATATTTATTTCTAGGGCAAATTTGTTATCTTGTGAAGAAAATAAATGTTCAGTTTCTTCTCATGCAAATATAAGAAAAAGGGGTTATCCAACAACATGCCAGTGAGTCTACTGGTGTACCTTATTGAGTAAATCTTCTTTGTGCTTATCATAAGAAATTGCAACATGAGAAAAACTGTTTTACCACACAAAATTACAACATGATAAACAAATTTCAACAAAATTTTCTCTATTCAAAATGATGCTTTTCAATTCCTTGTTTCGGAGAAGAAGAACGTGTTTCCATCCTTGTCCTATGAGACACATTTACATTCCATGTTTTGAAAATGGTTTTCCATTTCTTTTGGTGGTGCTGGGGGTCAAACTCAGGCATCACACATGCTAAATGTCTGCTTTTCCAATTAGCTACAGCCTTAGTGCTAACGTTTATTAATAGGAATGACACACTTCTTCAGTCCACTCTTGGAAAGAAAACCCCAGCAATATCAGTGAGCATTGTTTCAGTTCTCCGTAACATTCCATCCTTTGATGACCTTTGGTTTGTCTGAACCCAGACCTCTGTAATTCTTCTAGCTATTGTAGACATCTTCACAGGGACAGTATCTGGCCTTTTTAGTTAGTTTTAAGCTTGATTTCATTTTCCATTAGCTCAGTATTGTATGTGTTTATAGGCTACAGTATAGTGTTCTCCTATGTTATACTTGTGTGATCAAGTATAACAACTTTCAACTCAAACGTGTATGAGTTCACTGTTACAAAAATATCCAAAGTCTTCCCAAGAGCTTGAAAATAGAAAGCATATTATTCACCATATTTACCATATCTACTGTTCACCAGAATACCAGAACCTAGTTATCCTACTTGACTGTCACTCAGTGCCTGAGAACACCCATGTTTCCTTCTACCCCAGTCTCCTCCTCCTCTTGTGACCATTATTTTATACTCAATTCCTATGAGCTGGACTCTTGCAGGTTCATCGTATGAGGGAGATTCCGCCGAGTCTGTGTCTGGCTTATTTCACTAGTATCATTCAGGATCATATACAATCATACAATCTGACCCATTGCAAGAGTTCACCTTTTTACGCTGTCTATCATTCTACTGTGTAGGTGCACCACATTGTCTATCCATCCATTGTTTCTGTACAGTGAGGTTGATCCTAGATCCTAGCTGTGGTGCTGAAATAAACTTGGGAGTTTGTCTTGCTTTCTGTTTCCTTTATTCCGTTCTCTTTTAAATTCATCCATTTACTTGGTCTACATAATTTGAATAGATTTTCTGTAGTCATTTGCATATATGTAGGATAAATGTAGTAACTGGCTTGGGGAAAGATGGATGATGCTCTCCCTAAGTGAGGAGAAATGTAGGAACAATGCAGGGAATTGGGCATATTTAAGTGTGATTCAGGACAATAATAAACAGCATGGTTAGCTTCATTTGGGGGCTGTTGCAAATGGTCAGTGAATACTCCATATTTCTGTCTAGCTGCCAGTGTCCTCTGTCATGACCTGGGGAGACAGAGTGAACAGGAGACCTCTTTTTTCTATTTTTTGTACCTTCTTTAATGAGAGAGAGAGAGAGAGAGAGAGAGAGAGAG